TTAAAATAGAAAAAACATTTTGTTTCGTGCAAACGCGGTACTAGTTGGTGAAATTTAAGAAGCCCATTATTTAACTAATTTTTTTTGAACTCATAATAACAAAACACCATAATTAGTAGACCGCATCTTCTAAATGAATCTGGCTTTCTGCCTTGAGTAAAACATAAAAAACTTTCGCTTAAACACGCTCCTAGATGAGATCATTACGCCAAAGACGCGCGCACACAGTCAAGTGAACGTCGCGACGCCTGGAGCGTGAGACAAAGGCTTGGTTATGTCTGATGAGCAACACATCGACAGACTCTAATAAGAAATTTACTTGCTGGTAAATCATCTTGGGTACGCACGACTCCAATGATCATTTTAAGTATTGCCAGTGAAGATCAGAGCTGCGCAACGATGCCTTCACCTGTTGAAATGGATTCGTGAAATTTACGTATACTTTCTTGTTTGACACACAGATGTTTTTTTAACATAATAATAGGGCACAATTAGAAAATACTCATATATAGTGACGTCCACTTTTCGATCGAAATGGTTTATAATTTCGAATTATTTCGAGGAACGGTTCTCTGTTGATAACTGAGATTCATCCAGTTTTGTCTGTTGATCTTTATTTTCCTGTCAGGAGGCTTTTAGTTAACCGAACAAAGAACCAGCTTTGATTATGTTGTGATCACGTCATGCTGCCATGTATCAGACATGACCTATACTGATAGTAATATACTAGCATTTTCGATTACGTGCACCTTAAGGTCACATAACGTTTTTCTAGTCCAATTCAACCTAGCTCCTATATTACAATTTTAATAATTTATTATCTGTTATTGTTTCAATTATCTATTTATTGCTTGCGTATGGAGTAAGCAGTGCACAATAATTAGTGGTGGTGCGTCTGCCGTGTTTATTGTTGACGCTCGCAGCTCCTCTTTCGGCAAAAGCAGACGGAAGAAAATGTAAACAACGAACCTATATTAGACTTTAGTTTTTTTTTTTTCTTTTTTTTTTTTTATCTTTGAGCTTCTACTTGCTCCTCTGTGCGAGTCCAATTAGAAGTAAAGCCACGTATGCAATAGATTGCCACTGATCGGACTCATCAGTCGATCGATCAGTTTTTAGTCATTAAATTACTAGTCGGCAATGATGTCCCTATTGATGTTTATTCTACCCTCCCCCTTTTTTTCCGTAGGCGTCTTGTTTCGCGCACAGATGGAATCATCCGGGTGCCGACTTGCGGCATCGAACTTGTCACTGAAATATTTAACGTTGTGCTAAGTGAAGTTTAGCAAGTATAGATATATTTATATACAGAGAAGAGTATTATATCACTCGGTTGAACCTTCCTAAAGACATTTTTGTTTGAGTTGATAGATTGCCACCAACTTCGTAGCTTGAACGCAATTGGTTTATTGGAATCAGCCCTTCGAGATCAGTAGCCTTGCGATGGCTCTGTTTCGTAATATACTCTGTGTATATATAAATAGATGTTTATCTAATAAGCAAAAATTAGAAAAAGAGAAAGCTACGCCTTCACGGATAAGCAGACACGTGAAGAACATAAAAAGACAACAAACAAACGACTTCATGGGAAAAAAAGTTACTGTTTATAAGTATACATAAATATATAGTGAATCGTACGATGTAACATCGTACGACGACCATATAATTTAAATAATGATGGATAGATAAAACTTATTATTATTATTGCAGCTACATAGTTTTGTAAATAATATTGGTATATACAGATGAAAGTATGAGTGGTGATGATGATCTAAATCGATCTTAATGAAATAGAGCACTAATCCAAATGGGGTGGGCGTCTCTAGCTTAGTCCGGCATAGGTTTCGTACGTGCGAAGTCAGACAGGCCTTTCTGATCGTTGGAGAAGACCAGATCTGATTTAGCCAGATTAGGGAAAGTGTAAACGTCATATCGATTAGAGGTCTATACTTATTTGAGGACGAGCTTTGTTGCGGTCTGTTTTAAAATCTGCATGCACTCGCGGACACCCTTTATTGGATGTGATCGATGTGAAATTTTTGACCTGTCGTCGGCGATGATCATTGAAACATAACAGCAGTTTAACAAGGAAACGTTTCCTTCGTAATTCTGTGAACGACAAATACCAAAGCAGGAATGGTGATAGCACGACGGCTGTAGAAAGTATGTAATCATATCGATTACGGTCTTAAAATATATATGTATTTATAATACTTTCTTTATTTAATCACGCATTGTCGTTGAGTAGTACGCTCCGGCGGGGTTTACTACGCAGGATATATATATATATATATATAATAATTATGACGATAATTAATATATATTACGATGATACTATTCTTATTTCAACTAGACTTGACGTCGGGTAGAGCGGTTGATTGGTGAATGATAGTCTTCTTTACTATGGCGATTATTATAATTACTATTGTTATTATCGAAACGCCGCGTTCTATCTGGACAATTGTGCTGCGCTTGTTTATCTAGTCGCCAAAATTTATTTATTTAGTCAATCATTTATTACGGACTGCGTAAAGGGGAGCCATAGTATGATGGCGGACGGAGGACGGGTGGAAAGCAAGAAATCAAATATGTGTGAGGAGAAAGACAAACGAAAACAAATGTGTTTGCTTCTACCGCATGCTTATCGAAGATCTCTGTGTTGAAATTAAGACAAATTCTGTTTTTTTGACAAAATCGGCCATCTCGCTAAAAATACATCGGTCTGCATTACGTAGGCGGTTATGCGAGGTTTGCGGTATGCGAGGCACAAAACCAATATGCATGGCGGCTTCCCTTATGACTTGAAGCATCGATAGTTGGAGCACACACGGATGATTTCTGTAGAAACAAACGATTGTTTAACTGTTGCAGATTGTTCTCCTTAGTTTTCGTGTACAATGCCAATCGACGCCAATAGTAACCAATGGGTTTTAAGAGCCGTCCGCGTCTTTACGTACACTGAAAGTTCGCACGAAATACACACAAAAACGGAGGTTTTTGTTAAGTTTGTTGAATTTGTTGATCATTTCTTGTGTAGTGTTTACATAAATCCTATACATAAATCATATACACACACACACACACACACACACACACACGCCCGTATACTTACATACATATATCTCCTTGCACACGCTATATAAATATATACATAAAGGTTACTATGGACATATGTAGGTTTTCCACATTATTGTGAGCCGGTTTGTTGGTTTTGACTGTCTTTAAATAATAAAGTTTATTAGTAAGACATTTGTATTAAACACGAAACGATGAATGCTCGAGAAAACAACGACGTCGAAACTTTTCCGTACAGATGTTTTTGACAAATGGTCGTTATCAATTATTATCAACTAAATATTTTACTATGCCACCTGTGCAAACTTGCCCCAGATTTGACGAGATTCAAAAGCAAGATTCGTGTTATTCTCCGTTTTCCCTGGCTGTTACGAAGTCGTGCATTCACTGTGATTTCTCGTATCTCACTATAATGTTCACTACAATTCAGTGATATTGAACATAATGCTGATATTATTATTGCTATTATTATTATTATAGGGAAAAATACTGATCAGCAGAATATTTCAATCCAGTGCATATATATATATATATATATATACACACTGAGTTTAAATATCCGGCTAATTAGCATTCTTCCTATATATATATATATATATATATATCTATCCGTACGAGCATTGCGGCATTGTATAGCTAAACAGCGACACATTGACTTGGACTAGCCTCGTTGGGTAAGGTCGGTACAAATGTTTCTTCTCTCGATAGTACGAATCAATAGTACATATGGGCTGCTTGTATTCTTTACGCAAGAAGAATGGTGGCCGACCAAAGCTGATTGAAGCAGCTCTCTCACATGCGGTAGACTCACCCAGCATCATAATGCTACGATAGCCCCCCATCCCCCGCCTCTTTCCTCCCGACATGATGATTTTTTCGTACGCGAAGATCTGTTTTGTGCGTTTCGCTTTATTTATTTGGCACAATGGTTTTCGTGTGGATAATGCGACAATGAAGCAGAGAACAGGAATTGAAGTGAATGCGGTTGTGAAAACGTTTGAGACACCAGGAAGCAGCAAAAAATGAAAACCAGAGGGGAGACGTAGCAATGACAATGTCAAAATAATACGGAGTCACATTTTTAAACTGGGAAAAAAAAATGATGAAATTCGGTTCTGTTCTAACCCTATCTATCGATTCTAAAAGTAGTAATAACGTGGCATACATTCGCTTCATGGAAAAGTAAAAACATATTGAGCAGATCATACCTGTCGTCGATATAATTTATACAATTGTAAAAGTCTACGAACATGATAAATCTATATGTATTTTAGCGGGAATTGCGCATGCATATACTCGTAAAAACTAAACGATACAAAATTATTGATTGAAGTTAGAAATAAAAAGGATTATTCAATCCTTGTTCTCCACAGCATTCAATGGCAATGTAAATGAAGTACTTATTGTGTTGAAACTGACCTACTGAAAGTATCAGCAGTCTCACTGAATAAAGAATTTTGTTTACAGTATGGAGAAGTGTGTTGTTCTTCTAAGAATAATTGTTATTGCTATGGTTAGATCGTATTGACTACTGCTACTACTACTACTACTACTACTACTACTACTACACAATCGGAAGCAATAGGGAAATGAACAAGGACAACGACGATGATTTCAGAACAAATGTTAACATGAGGTTCTCATTTCAGAGACGGTGCTTACCCCCCCCCCCTTCCCTGCTGATGCCTATCACCGTAGAGTGCTGTCGCCGCTGCCGTCGAGCCATGCGCTTCGGGTCTTCTTCATTCAACTTCTATTCTTCTCCATCTTACGTTATCCATCCATGCGTTGTTGCGTTACGTTACGTTACGTTGCTGTG